AAGTGTTACATTCTAGATGGGGGAGGGGGTTGTGCCCTTCCTCCATGGCAATCACTTTGTGCTGATTTTGAGCCCATTTTCTAGCGCTTGCATCAGACCATTTATGAGCTTTATTGGTCTGTTTTAACCCGACAAAAGTAATCAGTCCAATGAATGGGTGGGTGTCCTTTAGATGGGTGGATGGAGGGTAACGTGTTTATAGGAACATATAAAATAGCAGTTTTGATTTTATATATAATGAACACATGTAAGTAGTATGCACCTGTGCAAACTTGGTTATCTATAGTATTTAAAAGCCATGAAATGGAATGAGATTGATCACTAGAAATCATGTCCCATGCTACAATGTAGGGATGAGCCTTGAGGGCATTATGCCAAGTGAAAGCAGCCAGTCATGAAAGAACACTGAATGACTCTACTCAGGTGAGGCATCTGGAGTACGCAAACTCAGACAGACAGGAAGAGGAATGTGAGTGCCAGGGGCTTGGGGAAAGGAAACAGAAAGCTTTGTGTTACCTGAGAATAAATTATCAGTTTGGGATGATGAGAAAGATTATGGGGATGGTGAGTGTTCCCTGTTGCAAAACAAGGTGGAAGCATGTATGCTGCTAAATGGCTAATGAGGCTTGGCGCTGGTGGCTTACAACTGTAATGCTAGCTATTCAGCAGGCTGAGTTCCGAGGATCACAGTTCCAAGACAGCCCTAGTAGGAGACTCATCTCCAATTAATCACCAAAAAACCAGAAGCAGAGCTGTAGTCAAGTGATAGAATACCATCCTTAAACCAAAAAAAAAGCTGAGGGACAGCACTGTGGCCCTGAGTTCAAGCCCCAACATAGGCACCAAAAAACAAAAACAAAACAAAGTTTATAAAACCCACATGGTTCTAATAAATAGATAATGCTTTAGAATACACCCATGTCAGCAATAATAGTCATCTGTTTTTTAGATATGACAGTGATTTCCTGATTTTGTTTATCCATGTAAAAGCATATATTCTTGTAAATTAACTGACATAAAAAAAGGATAGAATATTTCAAAGTATATTTTATTCTGCAAGTAACAGCTGAGGAAATACTCTGAATTCTCAAGAAAACAGAAGTTCAGCATTTTGGTCAATGTTAGTGAGCTCAGGTCAGTAGTCTGTAAGCCAGTGGCATTATAGAAAAGATAATTTAGGGAAAACATACTGGGGTTTCTCTATGACAAGCTGATTATGGAGGTGAGTGAGAGAGGAGAGGGCCTGGCTCCCCAAATCCCTCACACACATCAGGTAAAGCACCTGGCATGCTGGAGGACAGAGGCAGACAGAGCCAGCTCCCCAACAGCGACACGCAAACATCGGGCATCGGGCATCCGGGCTCCCATCCCACCGAGAGCAGCGGGGAATCTGCTCCCAGAGCTTAGTGGGACACAAATGGAATTGAAAGGAGAAAATTGGCATTTCAAGTGAGACAAGTGAAAAGCATTCTGTACTGAAGGAGGATTGTAATGGTGAAGAGCTCACAGAAGTCAGAGATTGAAGCAAAGGGACTCTTAGGCTGGAGGGGGTGCTGAAGTATGGAGTGGTCGGAACACAGCTATAGAAACTGGTGTGTGTAGACTAGCCCCGCCAGCAGAGCTGGAACAGGCATGTGGCAGTATTGGAGTTCCTCTCCTCATTATGGACGATGCAGTAAAATCTGGGAATGCTAACGCTCCTCAGGGACACATCCACAGTGATACTGAACAGGATCCCCTGAGCTGGGTACTAGGAAAGCTACCTTGAGGCCCCAGATCCTAGTATTAAAAACTGAGATTAGGGCTGGGTGCTGATGGCACATGCTTGTAATCCTACCTATTCAGGAGGCCCATATCTGAGGATCACTGTTCAAAGCCAGCCCGGGCAAACAAATCAAACTCTTTTCTCCAACTAGCCATCAATAAGCTGGGAAGTAGAGGAGTGGCTCAAGTGGTAGAGTGCCCACCTTGAGCAGAATAAGCCAAGGGAAGAGAATGAAGCCCTGAGTCTAAGCCCAAGTACCTGCACATACGCACACGCAGATGTGCAGACACACACATACAGAAAGTTGAAATTAGGCCTACTTTCTCTCCTCAGAATTCAGAATAGAACACCTTTTGTTTATGGATGAGATTATCCATCAAGGTCAAGGGCAAAGGTCCGGCCCACAGTTGAGTGTCAGAGGCCAGTGGTACCCAGGTTCCCCAGCATCTAACATTACCTTTCAAATCACTCTGAAGCCCCTACAGTTGCTTTTTAATCCCTTCTTACCACATGATCTCATTTAACTAATTTATGACTACAGGCTGCAGACTGAATTACAGCTATTTGTTTCCTTTCCCCAGTTACAAGTTGAAGAAAAGCAGGCTTCATTAATTCAAGTGCTTATCTCCAAACAGCATGTTAACAAGCTTTTCAATGGTGCCCCAGCCACTGAGTTTTCTGAGAAGGTGAAAAGGCTCCTGGTCCATATGGTCCCAATTCTTGTACATTTTCATTTGCAAGCGCTAAGGTTGACAGATCTGCTAGGAGCAAATGGGGTGTTAGTTAATATCTAATTACTCCTAACACGAGTCACAGCCCATTTAACTGAGGCAGACGCCAGTCTTAGCTTCCACAGACTATCTAGGATATCCATTTACACTGTCAGCCACATGGCCTTGTCTGCCTACGTAAGTTTTACAATGCAATGTGAATCCAGGTTGGTTTATAGTCTAACCACTCCCTTATTCCCTAATATGCTAATGGGCCTTGGGATAGCAGTGAGTTAAGATGAGAGACTATAATTGCTGGCTCATGGTTTTCTAAAAGTAGTAATACTAAGATTTGAATAACAGAGCTTATGTCTGGTTATTACTGTTTGGTTGGGAAAGTGCCAGGAAGGGGAATCTGTTGGCTGCTTCTATCTTACTGACAGAGTCCCTGAAGCCCAAGGAAATGTCTGGAACAAACAGCACCTGTTTCTTCAGTTTGAAATACGTTGAGTCACGACAGCTTGGCTCAGAGCATATCTCTGAGACATACTTGGTCACAGCAGCTAGAATGGGGTTAGGATAGTCAGGAAGTCACTTGGGTTAACATAACCTTCCCCCTTCCTCAGGGGCAGAAGAGATCCTGGAACAAGACCATGAGGAAGTGTTGTAAGATTCTCCAGAATTGCTCAGACCTACTTTGAACAATGTGCTGGAAGAGAAGGAGAATGAATAAGCTGAGATCTGATTATATTCCTTAGATATACTTAGGGCTAAAAATGCATGGCAACTGATTTATTTAACCTTTTGCTTAAAGGGGAAGTATGGAAAAAGTCATCAGGAAGCTCACCACTGGTAGTTCACATCTGAAATCCTAGTTACTTGGTAGACTGAAATCTGAGGATCATAGTCCTAAGGCAGCCTGGGCAGGAATGTCTACGAGACTCTTATTTCCAATTAACCAGCAAAAGCCTAAAAGTGGAGCTGCAGCATAAGTGGTAGAATATGTGCCTTGAGTTTTTTTGAAAAAGTTAAGGGACAGCGCCCATCCCCCAGTTCAAGCCCCAGGACACACACACACACACACACACACACACACACACCCATCCCCCAGTTCAAGCCCCAGGACACACACACACACACACACACACACACACACACACACACACAGACTCAACAGGAATCTCTCCTCAGCATGGGATTAGGCATTGGCTAATTCATCTGAAGGCAACAAATGACTAGGAGCAATCTAAAAATATGTAGGAGATAAAATGGTGGAGAAGTTCAAATTCCATCCAGTCTGCAGCTATGTTCTAGAACTTCTCAAACTTAGGTACCATGTGCGTGAAAACAATCACTCCATCAAGATGATTTTATTTATTAAAAAAACACTCCAGAAAAAAAGCAAAGAATTAAAAGGATTTTAATAAAATCAACAAGTTTACATTTGTACATCTTGTATATTGGAACCCAGTGGTGGGGAAGGGGTTAATGATAAGAGTTGCAGACACAAAAGTTTCATGGACAGCAAGCAAAAAAGCAAGGGCTAGTTTAGCTGCGTAGGGGGTACCCATGGGAGAGCGAGACCCCATGGCTGGGACCCTGTGGCCACCTCCCTGCATTCCTGAAGTGACAAGGCAGCTTACTGAGCCTGTCAGCATGAGAAGTGCTGGCTCAGTGCTCAGGTCCAATGCCACAGCCTATGTGACACTCCTACATTAATACCTGACAGGCAATGGTGGATAAACAGTTCATAAAATAGTACTGCCCACAGAATATTAATGTAAGCCCGAGCTCCACTCACACGGTTTAAGCCAGAATGGTTCCGTCAAGCTAATGAGAGGGAAAAGGCCTCAGTGTCAGTTCTAATTGCTCCATTCAATGGCACAGTTGCAGAAAAACAGCAAGAGAAAGAACCATGTATTAGTTTTACAAAACAGGATTTAAGAAAAGAACCTCGTGAGAGCGAGGCAGGTCAGAGAACACAGATTTTAGCATGAAATGATTTTGCACATTTTCACAGGGTTCTGTTTGTGTTAAAGGATTTGGTTGGTAAAAAACTCCTCCACTTTAATTCTCATTCTTTGAATGGATGACAGACGTTTCAAACAACTGATCAAGGTCCAGAGAAAAGAAAAGGGACTAGTGTTCCCGAGATTAAAAGTGAGCAAGCATGTGCCTTTTCTTTATTTTCTTTTTGTGCTGGTACAAGGCTTGAACTCAGGATTCTCACACTTGCATGGCCTTTCCACTCAAGGCTGAGGCTCTACCACTTGAGCCATACCTCCACTTCCTTGCTCTTTACCCAACTGCATCATTTTGTGTGTAGGGCAAACAGTGTTTTTAAAAACACAACACTGGGCTGGGAAGGTGGCTCAGAGGTAGAGCGCTTGCCTTGCATGCATGAGGCCCTGGGTTCAATTCCTCAGTATCACATAAGCAGAAAAAACCGGAAGTGGTGCTGTGGCTGAAGTGGTAGAGCGCTAGCCTTGAGCTGAAGAGCTGAGAGAGAGCACCCAGGCCCAGACTTCAAGCCCCATGACTGACAAAAACAAAACAAAACAAACAAACAACAACAACAAAAAACCCAACACCGCAAGTACAGGTAGCTTGTCTTCTTTGAGGGTCATTAGCCCTAACCCACAGGTCACAATGGTGACATACACCCAGATATACCTTGGTGGGAGCAAGGGACCCTGCTCTAGATCGACACCAGTTTACACAGCACACAGGTGCGCTAAAAGAATTCTTTAGCCAACTGAGACATAGTTAGGAGGAAATGACGTTAATCCCCTCCCAACAATGCAGGGAGATTTTGCTTCTTGGCTCACTTAGAATCCCAAGAGGAAAAAAAAAAAAAAATGATTATTAAAACAGGAAACATTTTCTAACGAATGAGCAGTGAGTGAGCTCTGGGCTGATGGAAAGGCTCCTCATGTCAACTTTCTGATGCTTATTCCGAAGCATCACTGCACGGAGTGTGTTGTCTTTACAGAGGGGTCCCCGAGGAGTCTACCATCCCAATGAGGAAACTCAGAGGAGGGCAGTGGAATAACAAGAGCATGACAGGAATCCCACATGGTGATGGTTACACAGACATTTTCTTCTGAGGGCTCAGGAAAGCTCAAGGCAGGGGCAGAAAGTTCTGGGAGGTAAGGAGACCTGACAGGACCTCCTTATCGGGTTGTGCTGGGAGCAATGGCGCCTTGGTCAAGGGCACAGGCAGCTACGAGGGAGGCCAACATCAGCCTCTCTTCAGGAAGCACGCTTGATACAGCTTATCACATTTCCCTTTTAATTTCCCAAATCTTCAGTAGGAGGTATGTTTTAATGAGGGAAAAAAAAATCCCTAATGAGTATGAAAGAGGAATTTCTAAATGACAGCAAAACTGCAAAGACAGTATGAACTTAAATAAAAAACGTTTAGTGGAACATATCCATCATGGTGTTTCCAACTGGCAGCTGATGTGATTGGAAAGAACCCGCCCTCGCCCTCACCGTTCCTTTCTTGACTGGCTTTTAAATAGATCTCCATTTGCCAGGCAGCAGGAAGCACAGGAATTTACCCCAGAGTCAATGTTTAGGTAAACAGGCAGCAGCTTCAGAGGTTGAAAGCTAGGTGGGACAAAGGAACAGAAAATACAACCCTAAGTTCAGCCCCTCCAGGGGCAAGTGTGGAGCCCATGTGGACGGAGAATGCTGCTCTTCAGGAAGGCAAGGTGCCCACTTCCAGTTTCTGCCTCTGGACGCTTCCCTGAGCCTGATAGGGCTTCTTCTCCAGACACACAGAACAACACCTGTCCAGAGCACAGGCATGACTGGAAGTGTGTCTGCACTGCCCAGATTCCCTTCTTACCAACACTTGTGCTTCCCATGACTGTTACCTGGACAGGCGACTCCCTATCTGTGTGTTTGGGAAATTTGCAGGGATTTTCCATTTACATTCATACCCAGGGTGGTCAGCAGGGAGGTGTCCTTGCTTCTCAGGGGTCGGGATAGTGTCTCCTAGTACACAGATGTCTCTCTCTGTCTTCATGCTGCCACGCATGCAGCTCTCTACACTTGCATCCAGCAGGCTGGGGAAAGAATTCAGAGTCCCCCTTGCACCCTGAGGCCAAGCTTTTCAAGTCCGGGTGCCAGGGCTGGGGGAGCTGGGGGTGGCGTGTCTGCTGGCAGCACAGTGGGTGTGCACAAGCCCTCCATTTGGGTATCTGACAAACACAGGTTCACCAAAGGGGTTCTGGCAGAGCTGGCAGAGCTTTTTGTCTGAGAGCTTGATTGCACTTCCCTTCAACTTCATCTGGAAACAGAAACAGACAGTGAGTATGCCAGTACGGAATTTACCCACCAAGACCGTTTTATATCAACTTCTTGAAACAATCCACAGGAAACGGAAATAAACAAAACTATTCTTAGTAACCTGAGAAGTAAAAAAGCTACAAAACCACTTTTCTTAGAAAATTTACCATGTTGCCAGGTGCCAGTGGCTCATGCCTGTAATTCTAGCTACTCAGGAGGCTGAGATCTGAGGATTATGATTCAAAGCCAGCCCGGGCAGGAAACTCCGTGAGACTCATCTCTAATAAACCACTAGAAAACCGGAAGTGGTGCTGTAGCTCAAGTGGTAGAGTGCTCGCCTTGAGCTGAAGAGCCAGGGAAACCGCCTAGGCCCAGAGTTCAAACCCCACGACTGACCAAAACAACAACAACAACAACAACAACAAAAACTTACATGTTGCTGGGCACCTGAGGCTCACATCTCTCACATCTGTAATCCTGACAACTCAGGAGGCTGAGATCTGAAGATGACAGCTCAAAGCCAGCCTGGGCAGACAAATTTGAGACTCTAATCTCCACTTAACAGGCAAAAAGCTGGAAGTGAAGGTGTGACTGAAGAAGCAGAATGCCAGCCTTGAGTGAAAAAGCTAAGGGAGAGAGCTTGGCATACACATGCACAACACGAAACCTTGCTTGTCTAGCCTATCTACTTAGACGTCACCCTCCAACATTCTCAAAGCTGTTTCCACCACGCCTCCTGACATAGGTATCAGCCTACTGGATCCCTATATGTCACCTAATGTCCTGGCCTTTCCATTTACAAGTAAGATAAGTAAGGCACAAATTGGGGACTTGGGCAAAATTATTAGTTCATTAGTGCCACTTTCCTGATGGACCCTGGGAAATACAATTTCTTTTGGAGGGTCATTAATACAACTGAGCCTAACGCTGTCTATCTTATCTCATCTGCTAAATAGGACTGGAGTTTGCAAGTTAAATCCTTCTGTATAATTCACTTGTGTCAACTCGGTAGCACTTAGTGACTTCTGCATTCATAGTTACACTTATCATTTAACAAACATTTATGTAATGCTTTCAACACACCAGGCCTGGCTCTAGAAAAACTAAGACATGTAAATGCCCTTTAAGAACTCAGAGTCTAACAGCAAATAGAAACAATTATATGTAAATAACAACAAAAATATGAACACATACACACAGTACACAGGTTTTAACATGGAGAAAAAGGGCAGCCCGTACTTCAGGTTGAGTATTCATTAAGCATAAAGGAAATGGTAAGGGAATTCCAAGTGGTAGGACAGGGCTAGGGGGTAGGAGACAGCATGCCATGTGCTAGGAAGCATGGGGAGATGGGAGGGTCAGAAACAAGGAAGTAGACTGCATCTCCCAGGCCAAGGAGCAAATGAAGGACTTAATGTGGCAGAGAACATGATTCTCCCTTTGCTAGCTATGTGGAGCATTCACAAAGGCTACAGCTCAGGGAGAGGAAGCAGGTTTCTTTCTTTGTGCCAGTTCTGAGGCTTGCTCAAGCTATCCCACTATTCAGTCAAAGAGAGTGCTCTACCACTTGATCCATAGCTCTGCTTATGGATCTTTGCTGGTTAACTGCAGAGTCTCATGGACTTTCCAGCATGGGGTGGCTTCAAACTGCAATCCTCAGATCTCATCCTACTGAGTAGCTAGGATTACAGGTGTGAACCACCAGTGCCTGACTGAACATGGGTTTCCGAATCAGCCCAGAATCAACCCTGAGCAAGTCTACGCACAGACCATCTGACTTGTCTGTGCCTCAGTTTCCTCTTAATGTAGATAAGACTGATAAAGGGCAACAACACAATGCCATGCAGTGTTTGTTCAGCAAGCGCCACTCTTCTAGCATTATTTTCCTTCCCTCATCTTTCCTCATACACTCCACTCCTTAGCCAAAGTGTCAAAGCAGGAGGAAAAGGCAGCCCAGCCCAGCCTCAGTCTGTGTCCCCAGACCTCAGCACCTAGTGAAAATCTCACAGAGACAGAAACAGAGAAATTAACCAAGACCATTCCTCAGTAGCTAAAAAGCTGACCTCCCATGAAAGGCCACTCACCTTGTCATATGTGTAGATCAAGTTTTCCGACCTTGCCAGGCCAAGGGCTACCTGTGTGGTCCTCCTGGTATGGATACTGTCTCTCACAGCCCCCATCAGGAATGGGCAGAGCAGCTGCACTGACCAGGTGCCTGGCAGCAGCTGCAGCACTTGGGTAGCGTCAAATTCCCTGGCATGACGGTTGAGCAGGTCCACGGCTGGCATGGCCAGCTCATGGGCAGAGGGGCCGGCGTGGAGGTACATGGCGAGCAGCATGTGGAAGAGGCGCTGGCGGCTGGGTGCGTCCTGGCCCTCGGAGCCCCACAGGCAGTAGTCTTCGGCTGCGGAGAAGTCCCCCAGCTCGTGAACCAGGATATGCAGGGCCTTCTCGTGCTCGCGCAGCTTCCCGTGGAGGATGGCGCGCTCCATGGGCAGCCCAGCACCCTGGATCTTCTCTGTCAGAGAAAAGTGTTTCTCAGAGATAGGCAGGTTTGGTGAGGGCCTATCACGTATGTACCCATGGGCCCACAGCTCCCAGCCTCAGAAAGGACAGGCGAGACACTGCTAAATACTGCCACTTAGACCATCAATTGAAAGGCTGCCTTGTGTTGTCACCTTAAAATTCTGGGTCTTAGTAAAATAGAAGATAGACTCCACTGTGAAGTGTCGGGAATAAACAAAACATCGATGGTCTTGGAAGGCCACAGTGAATCAGTGTGTGCAGCAAACTCATCACTCACTCCCCTTTCCCCAGTCCCATACATATCCTTTGACTAATGTAGGAGGGCACTAAAGCCACCAGTTATCCGTCTGTGACCTAAGATTGGGTCCCAGAACCTCTTCCTGTGGATATCAAAACCCCAGTGCTCAACTTCTTCACAGAAAATGGCAGGGAGTTTGCAAACACCTGCACCGTATTCTACACCTTTTAAATTATCTCTATATTGCTTACAACATTTAACACAATGTACATGCTAGGTCAACAGTTACACTGTATTGTTAGGGAATAATGACAAGGAAAATCTCTACTTGTTCAGTTCAGTCCTATTTCTTTTTGGAATTTTTCTTTTCTTTTCTTTTTACAGGTACTGGGATTTGCGCTCAAGGCCTCCAGGTTGCTTAGCTTGCTTGCTTGGCTGACATTCTACCACTTGAGTCATGCCTTCAGTCTGGTTTTTTGCTAGGTAATTGGGAAATGGAGCCTTATGGCCTTTTCTGCCTGGAGTGGTTTTGAACAAAGAGCATCTGGATGGGCTGGGAAGGTGGCTCAGTGGTAGAGCATTTGCCTTGCATGCATAAGGCCCTGGGTTCGATTCCTCAGCACCACATAAGCAAAAAGAAAAAAGCCGGAAGTGGTGCAGTGGCTAAGTGGTAGAGCGCTAGTCTTGAGCTGAAGAGCTGAGGGACAGCGCCCAGGTCCAGAGCTCAGGCCCCATGACTGGACCAAAAAAAAAAAAAAGCATCTGGAAGCCTCTTGAACAGCAAGGATTACAGACATGAGCCAATAGTGCCTGGCTCTGGAATATTTGCTATCCAGTTGGTGGACCTATAGCTGTAGAGCCCATGGGTAAGAAGGGCCACCTGAGTATCTCCTTAAATATAGACATATACTCATTTCTCCTCCCCCCCATTCCCATTAAAAACATATTTCACTGAAGGGAATGTAGGCTCATGGTATAAAAAATTTCCATGTCTACATTATTCAACAAGAAGTTGAAAAAGAAAGAGTCCAAAAGGTTTTCTTGTATTTGTCCTGTAATTAAGCTTCTAGATTATAGGAAAATGTAACTTATAGCAGAGTCAGTCCTGACAAAGGCCCTGCATAGTAGGCCGAGGCTGGCCAAGTTGTTCTGCTTGCTTCCTGCCACACCCCATCTATAAAACAGAAGGCTAGCATAAGATCCTTACCTACTGCTAAGTGGGTATTCCACGGCTGACTCTTAGTCCAGGTCTAAGATTAAACTTATAGTTACAGGCATTGAGCATGGAAGCCTGGCTACATAAGGGCAGTCCTTAGGCCTGATGCTCAAGATAGACATCACCTGTCCCAAAGCAAAAGGCTGGCTATTTACAATGCTTCACCTAAACACTAGACGAAGCCACAACAGGTATCATCACCCCGTGAAATGTCAATGTATAACTACCACAGCCTGCCTTATCTGAGGCACAGGGGAAGGTTCAAAGATGGATAAAGTAACTGTGGTGATTCAGTCATCTATACTGACTGCTGGTCCCCCTGTGTAGATAGATTGGACAGGAATCCTATCCACAGCTCTAAGCCTGACACAGCTCCAGGCCACCTATAACCAGCCTGGGGTTCTGCCATGGCATTGACATGGCTCCAGGATGTCCTTTGCCCTTCCCAGGCTCATGTGTTGGAAGCTGGGACCTTACTCTGGGAATGTGGGAGGTAGTGGAACCTTTATCATCCAGGGATCACTTCCAGAAGAGATTAGGGTTACGTCTCAAAAAAAGAAATACACTAACCTCCCAACTAAGAAAAGTCCAGGACCGGATGGATTTACAGCTGAATTCTACAAGGCCTTCAAAGCAGAACCCACACCAATACTCCTCCAACTCTTCAATGAAATTGAAAGAGAAAGTTCACTACCAAACTCTTTCTATGAAGCCTTCGTAACCCTCATCCCCAAACCAGGCAGAGACTCATAAAAGAAAGAGAACTATAGACCCATTTGTTTGATGAACATTGATGCAAAACTTCTCAACAAAATTTTGGCCAATCGACTTCAACAATTAATCCAAAAAATCATACACCACGATCAAACAAGATTCATTTCAGGGATGCAAAGCTGGTTCAATATACGCAAATCTTCATCACATCAACAAGAACAAGGATAAGAACCACATGGTTATCTCAATAGATGCAGAAAAGGCATTTAACAAGTTCCAGCACCCCTTTATGATGAAGACTCTGGAAAAACTAGGAATCCTCGAACATTCCTCAATACAATAAAGGCTGTAAATGAAAACCCTACAGCCAACATTATACTTAATGGCGAAATACTAAAGTCATTTCCTCTAAACTCAGGAACGAGACAAGGATGTCCACTCTCTCTACTTCTCTTTAATTTAGTATTAGAATGCCTAGCTACAGCAATAAGACAAGATGCAAACATAAAGGGGATCCAAATAGGGAAAGTTGAAGTAAAACTCTCCCTCTTTGGAGATGATGTGATCTTGTATTTAAAGAATCCCACGGACTCCACTCCCAAATTACTCAAGCTGATTCAAAACTTTGGCAAAGTAGCAGGGTATAAAATTAACCCTCAAAACTCAACGGCTTTTCTGTATGCCAACAATGAGAACAGCGCAGCTGAAATCAGGAAAGCCCCACACAAAAAAATAAAACACCTAGGAGATAACTAAAGAAGTGAAGGATCTCTAAAATGAAAACTTTAAAAACCTGAAAAAGGAAACCAAAACAGAACTTAGAAAGTGGAAAACCTCCCATGCTCCTGGATTAGAAGGATCATCGTGAAAATGGCAATACTTCCCAAGGCTATCTACAAATTCAATGTGATACCTATCAATATTCAAACCTCATTCTTCAATGAAATAGAAGAAGCAATCCAAAAATTCATATGGAACATAAAAGACCCCGAATAGCAAAAACAATCCTCAACAGAAACAACAGTGCTGGAGGAATATCAATACCAAATTTCAAACTCTACTATAAAGCCATAGGAATCAAAACAGCTTGGTACTGGCACAAGAACAGACCTCAAGACCAATGAAATAGAATTGAAACCCAGAAATGAACCCACAGATCTATAGCCATCTAACCTTCGATAAGGGAGCTAAAAAAATTGGTTAATCAGTTGTAGAAAACTAAAGCTAGATCCTTATATATCATCCTGCACCAGAATCAACTCCAAATGGATCAAAGACCTCGGAGTCAAAGCAGACACCCTGAAAACATTACAGGATTGAATAGAAGAAACCCTAGGTCTCCTTGGCACAGGCTGAAATTTTCTTAATAGAGACCCAGAAATACAACAAATCAAAGAAAGGTTGGACAAATGGGATTGCATGAAGTTGCAGAGCTTCTGCATGGCAAAGGACATAGCTAGCAAGATCAATAGAAAGCTCACAGATTGGGAGATCTTCATTAGCCATATAATGGATAAGGGTCTCATATCTAAAATATACTTGGGACTCAAAAAATTTAATTCCCCAACAACAAATCCTCAAAGAAGCAACTGCCCAATAAATAAGTGGGCTAAAGATTTAAAGAGAACCTTCTTTGAAGAGGAAATAAGAATGGTCAATAGACACATGAAGAAATGCTCAATCTCTCTAGCAATAAAAGAAATGCAAATCAAAACAACATTGAGATACCACCTCACCCCAGTTAGAATGGCTATAATCAAGAACTCTAATAACAACAGATGCTAGGGGTTCCCCAAAAGGGAACCCTTCTGCATTGTTGGTGGGAGTGTAAACTTGTTCAACCACTTTGGAAAGTAGTATGGAGGTTCCTCAAAAGACTCCACATAGAGCTCCCCTAAGGCCCAGCAATCCCACTTTTGGGCATTTACCTGAATGATCACAAACAAGACCATACTAAAGATACCAGCACAACTATGTTTATTGCAGCATTATTTATCATAGCTAAGATATGGATCCAACCCAGATGCCCCTCAGTAGATAAATGGATCAAGAAAATGTGGTATATATACACAATGGAATTCTATGCCTCCATCAGAAAGAATGACATTGCCCCATTTGTTAGGAAATGAGACTAGTAAAAAATTATATTAAGTGAAGTAAGCCAGGTCTCATGGTTTCTCTTATTTACAATAACTAGTGTATGTCTGAGACAAGCAGAAAGGTCAAAGGTACATATGACCAGATAAGATGATGTTAAACGAAATGAACCCCAAGATAGGGACATGAGTGGTTTTTTTCTTTTTTGCTCGTTTCTAAGGTATTTATAATGTACCATGTGATTTTTTTGTTGCTTTGTATATTCCTCCCCCACGGTATAACCTCTGCTTTCACTGTATTTGATGTTGGTATAATTTGTGGAGGGGAAGGGAAAAAACAAAATGTTTAAATAGGGATACAGGTGGACCCATTGTAACAATGAGATGTACAAGACACTATGTTGAAAAACGAACTTTACAATTTAGGCAATGGGGGGGGGGGGTGTAGTTGTGGAGGTGGGAGGGAAGGGATGGTAGGGGGAAAACAAAAGAGGAGATAACAATTCTTGATAGGAAATGTACTCATTACCTTGCTCATATACCTGTAACCCCTCTGTACAGTATTTTTACAATAAAAAACTTATTTTTTAAAAAAAGAAATACACTAGCTCCTCCCTCATCTCTCCGTCTCTCTGGCTTCATGTCTTTCCATGTGACTTTTCTCTTTCTCTCCTTTCTACTGCTCCCATTTCTCTTTCCTTCCTTGTCATCACCATGAGCTCCTGCCATAATGTCATCTGTTATTAGACTCCCACCAGAGGCCAATTAATTAATGAGGTCATCCAATCTTGATCTCATGGTCTTTTTTAAAAAACTGTGGCTAAATGAGACTCTTTGCTTTAGAAGGTAGCTAGCCTCCAGTACGTTGCTATAGCAATGAAAAAAAATCTAATACAGGTATAAATATCTAATGTTCTTCCTACAGTGCCTTGGGGCATACTTCCATTTCCCAGTCTTTGTTTTGTTTTTGAGAAGTATAGGGTTTCAAACTCAGGGCCTCTAAGCACTCTACTACTTGAGCCACACCACTAGCCCTTCCTAGCTCAAGTTATTTTTCAGATAAGTATTACGTTTTTCCTCAGGGCAGTCTCAGACTTCAGTCCTCCCACACCTATCTACCTTACAAGTAGCTAGAATTGCAGGCATGTGCCACCAAGTTATCAGTCACATATGCTAGCCTAGATTTATGCTCTATGACTACTCAAACAGTCTTTCCTCTAGGAGGTTCCCTGAAACCTCCCAACCCAAGGTGTGGTTTGCAGATCCCACCTACCAAGGGGTGCAGACCTTTCCTACATCCTTGTTAAACAAGTCTCTGAGGACCAGAACCAAGCCTCATCCATCTTTATATTGTCAATGCACAGGGATACACTCTATGGACTCAAAAGCTGGCAAAGTCATGGAGAGTATGTGATTTTTATAAAGAGGTTTATAAAGCAAAGAGTACAATTGAGGAGGATATATGTGGGTTTATGCAATCACTATGCTATGTCATTTCCCACAAGAGACCTGAGCATCCACAGATTGATACCCTAAGGAGTTTTGAGGGATGAGGGTAAAGCTCAGTAGTAGAACATTTAGCCTAAAATACACAAGGCCCAGAGTTTGCCTGCACTACAAAATACCAAAACAGAATACCAACTCCTTAGAGCTTCTGGAACCACTCTCTAGAACACTCAGGGACAAGTGTACTGGAGTCACCAAAAAGGCTAAAGATGCATGAGAGCTTCACAGTCAAATGCACCAAGTTAAATGAAGGTAAGACTGGCACACCTGCACACATCAGGGCAGCTCCAATATCCCCAGCGCTGTCCCTGAGAGCAAGGGTACAAGAAGCTCACGCCTTCTAGGAAGGCTGACTCCAAGTCAGCACACTCAGGATTCATCCTATGCTATCAAAATGATGAGCTCCACCAAGACCAATCTGTCTGCACCTGGGGAGAAGGATGAGTGCATCCTCACCTATGAGAAAGTGGACTCGGTACAAGTCAGATTTCTGCAGCAGGTGCCGTAGCTTTCTCTGTGTCTCGGTGGCTTCGCCGCCCTTGTCGCTGCCAGACATCTTTTGCTGAAGCACCTCTTCCAGGTAGAGGACAGCCAGGTGAGTGTGGTACTCTTCTTTCTGCAGGAAGCAGGGTTCCAACAGACAGCATTTGCCAGAGGGAAGACTGTGGATCTCACCCTCCAGCCAGTATTCCCACAATCAGGCCACTGTAGAGGAGGGTTGGGCAGATTCTCCATCATGGACATGATACCCTTACTGGACTAGACATCTCCAAGAAACCTCCACACCGAGAAGCTGAGTTAACAACCTATGTTGCTGTATATAGTTGAGATGCTGAATGACTCCCAGAGCTGCCTTTGTGGTAAAGACTTGGTCCCAAGGTAGTTGAATCTTCAATAGATGAGACCCTTGAGGAAAGTCTTTAGGATCATGCAAACATTCTGGTTTCCTCTTCCTTTTCTTTCCTGGCTATGAGCTGAGCAGTTCTGCTCCTTCACGTGCTGTGCTCTGGCCTCACCATAGGCCCCAAACCAACAGGACCAACTGATCACAGATTGTAACCTCTTAAAAACCATGAGTCGAATCACCCTTTGGTCCTTATAAATTAATTGACTCAGGTATTTTGCCATAGAGACAGAAAGCTGATTAACACACATCCACATATCCACATACACACAAAAGGATTACTTTGTGAAAGGGCCGAACATGGGATGTCGGTGTTCTACAAAGAGGGGCAGCTTTTCACACTTCCTTTGAAAATAACAAGATGGGAAAGGGAGAAGGAATGTAAGTGGAGTGGACATGAGATGAAAGATCCAAGATCTGGCCTGGCCCCTTTGGTATCTTTCGCAAAGCCTCATATTCCCTCAAGACTATCAACAAGTACACTGAGTAGTGAGGAAATTAAAACATGACATTATCATTTCTGGAAAGCTGATAGGCAGGTTCCCTCTTCTACATTACCCGTACCACGTCCCTGTACCCGTACCCGTCCACACTTTGGTCTAAGTTCTAAAGAACTCACCTGTAGATTCCTGTCGATAACGAGGTGTTCCAGATATTTAACCAGAGCTTTAGGGTATTTTTTAAGGCAACTGATAATATCATCTGGATTAAAACTGGTCTTCTGCTGGTCATCTAAAGGTCTCTTGGTGAAGACTTGAACTCCAATCTGAAGGAAGAACAGCAATTCAGTTAGCAATTAAGCTTTTAAGTTGCCTTTATTCATCTTTATTTTGGTCACTGGACATTCATGCTTTGGATCAAATCATCATGGAAAAAGGCAGTGGCTATAATACATAGGAACAGTGTCTGCCATGCCAATCAGGCCTCAGCAAGGTGGTTAAACAAGGTGGCTATTGAAACAAACAACCCAGCTTCAAGTCCTGACAAGGACCACCTTTGGTCCTTTGCAGAAAGCAGACAGAAAAGTGGCCTACACTAAGAAATTCTCTGTTCTTCAAAGATAATTGGAAAATTAAAGAATGCATTTACTGATAAGATTTTGACAAACTACAGAGCACTCCTCTGCAGTAATAAGATCATCCCAAACACTAACTGTTCCTTCTGAAGAATAAGTGAAAAAAAACAGAGAAAGCACTGGAAACTCAACACTTGCAGCGAATTGTTCTCTGAACAATGACCGTGTACTTGGTGGATTCTTTATTCAATTTAAGCCTCTGAACAAGTTTCCTGGTTGCCTTCCTGTGCTTTTCCCATGCAGTGCCCATCAAATTCTGCTTTCTAAGGAAATATAAAATAGAGAATGAGATCCTTCTTTGCTCTGTGGACACTTAGGTGTGCACATCCTATCACATGCACATATGTGTGTGCATGTATACATACACATCATAATACTAAAAATGAAAATATGCAACAGCTATTAAAAGTATGCATCTGGGGTCCTATAAGCCTAGATCTCTATCTCTACCATGTGAGGTCCAAAGGGACTGTTTCTTAACCTCTCAGAGACTCAGTTTCCTCAACTGTAAGTCATGCCCAACTTGTATATGTGTGTGTGTGTGGGGGGGGGGGGGTTGCTGTGTCTTTCACCCAGGCCAGGTGACAGGTCCATCCTTTGGTGCACAGAATTCCATGCATGGGTCAGTTCTGTCCTCTGGGAAGGAACTGCTACTTTCAAGGCACTAGACAGGATGCTGGAGTGAGGGTGACAAGGTGTGTTATGCAGGTGTGTGAAGAGACTAGGAGGGGTGGAGCAAAAGTCCACCAAGCAACATCCCTGATTTCCAGTGGCAGCAGAATACAGGACAGAGCATTCCTGGGCTGCCTCAGGCAGATGGATACCAAGCTCTCCATTTAAGACAAAGACCCCTCAACATCAGAGAGCTCACTGCACCTCTCCCAGAAAACAAAGGATACATGTAATTTTAAGATGGTGAAAACAGAAATGTCTGCTGTTTTTGCCCAGGTTATCTATAGGACATCACTAAGGATTTTGTTATTCTGGCCCAACCAAGCTGCCTTCCCCAACAGCCCACAGGCAAGGGTTTTTTTCACTACTCTCATTTCTCAGCCTCTAAGGTGGATGCTTGTCTCCATGCCCCAAACTTCCAAGTAGAGGCAGTAAGAAAATGGAGAAGAGGACAACAGTCTTGTGGGCCTGGTGAGGCCTGGGGCTGCCACCTGCCAAGGCAATGGCCTGATTCTGCTCCAACAGCAGTGCTAGCCTGTAGCTGGGGGTGGGGAAAAGTGGATTGGAGAGAACTGTGTTTTCAGGAAGACACAGGCAACAGAAGCTGGCGGGACTGCTGGCTTTCCACCATGCTGGCCTCTTCAGAAAGAAGTTCCAGCTGGCATCTCCTAGAAGTTCAAAACACCCAGTGGGATTCACACGGTTCAAAGGGAGGCATTTAAAGAAGACTACAGAAATGTAAGCTTCTTCTAATTAATTCAGTGAAGGGTTCTCTGGGTCTGTTTCTAGGAAGCACTGTGAGAAAGAATAGATTTATAATAGCCATGTGCAGGTGGCTCACGTTTATAATCCTAGCTACTCAGGAAGCTGAGATCTGAGAGTCGCAGTTTGAAGCTATCACAGGAAGCAAAGTCCATGAGACTCACCTCCAATTAACCACCAAAAAGCCATGGAGCTGCAGGCTCAAGTGATAAAGTGCTAACCAAAAAAGCTAAGGGAGAGCACCCAGCCTGAGTTCAAACCCCAGTACACGTACACACACACACACACACACACACACACACACACACACACACACACACAAATGCATTTGTAAAGCACAAACCTCCTCACTTTTCTGCAAGACCCAGTCTGCATAGGTCCATACCAGCTCTCGGTCTAAGCAGAAGGTTAAAAAATCTACAATATATTCATACAGATCTGAGCGTGTGGAGTCCTGGACATCCCCATCCACGATGTTCACCCACAACTAGAACAAATAAAAAAAAAAAAGAGAAGGGAAAAACCTTAGGATATTGTATAGCTTCTAACATAAGCTTAGAAAGGTACTATCTGAGCCATATCATCAGCGAAAGACTTCTTAAAAGAAGCCCACTAAATAGGGTAGGAAGTACAAATCTATCATTTTCACATCAGTACCAAAATTTTTATGATATGGATTGAGTCTCCCTTGATGGAAAGAAATGCTTGTGATCACAAATGTTTCAGGTTTCAGACTATTGTAAGATTTTAGAATAGAGGCATGCACACATGAGGATTCTTGGGACTAGGCCCCGAGTCTAAATATGAAATTCATTTATGTTTCATGAATACACACATAGCACAAAGGCATAATATTTTATAAAATGTATAAATATTTATACAGTATTTTACACAATTTGGGACATAAAACCAAGTTATATGGTGTGACCTTTTCTTTTCTTTTTTTTGGAAAGGGTCAGTCGTGGGGCTTGAACTCTGGGCCTGGGTGCTGTGCCTCAGCTCTTTAGCTCAAGGTGAGCACTTTGCCACTGGCGGCACAGTGCCACTTCCAGTTTTCTGGCGGTTTATTGGGAGATAAGAGTCTATGGACTTTCCAGCCTGGGCTGGCTTTGAACCATGATCTTCAGATATCAGCCTCCTGAGTGGACAGGATTACAGGCGTGAGCCACTGGCACCCAGCCTTAGTATGGCCTTTTCGACTTTCAGCATCATATTAGTACTCAAAAAGGTTTGGATTTGGAAGCATTTTGGATTTTCAGATTAGAGGTGCTTAACCTCTGCTAGTTCTTCAACACTAAATTCTCCAAACCAAATAACTGAATTTTGCATACATTGAAAAATGCTGGGTTTTTTTTCCCCCTAATAGAATGCTTTCACATATGGCGATTTATTCCATATAATTTCAAGTTTGCAAGTATCTCTATATAGCTATGCTAATTTTATTACAATGCTTTTATCAAGCTGAAATTCTAAAAACACCACCATGTTTTCAAAAATGAAAATTTTATCTGTGATACACAAATCTATTCTTGGCCTTGGGGGTATGTGTTGATGGGAATCGATTTTCTTTTTACTATGCTCTCCAATTACATTACTATGATAGTTCCTCAAAGCAACCGAAGACTAAATACGTGTCTGGCCTGGCCAAAGTCATCGGGTTGGTGTTACTTGGACTCATGTGGCTGGTGTTATCTTCCTTCACAAACTAAAACTCTAAGGAAACTAGTGCACAAGCAATAGAGTTGGGAATGAAGAACAGAGGGAGGAAGAAGTCCCTTGAGGGGATGGGAAGATGCTTTTTCTTTTCTTTTCTTTTCTTTTTTAAGATGCTTTTTCTTAAGATCAGTGAGAAGCTGTTAAGATGCAAGATGAGAGGCCAGGCTACTAAATGAAATCATGCCATTAGATAAAGCAGAGCATTCTGCCAGTCTCCTCGGAGTACTTGTCCCAACATCCCAGCTCCATCACTGAGCAGGGTGTGGCCTTGATCAGCTTCAGTCCTGCCATTTAGTTGCCCACAATGGTTATTGTCATTTATTATATATTTAACTGTCATTTGTTGTCCCAATTTTCTGATAAGGCAGGGATGTCATATGCCTTGTAGCTCAGGAAGAAATCACAATTTGAAGGGGCATTGGTGGCTTATGCCTGTAATCCTACTCAGGAAGCTGAGATCTGACAATAATGGTTTGAAGCCAGCCTGGGTAGGAAAGTCCATGAGACTCTTATCTCCAATTAACCAGCAAAAAGCTGAAAGTAGCTCAAGTGGTAGAGCACTAGATTTGAGCAAAAAAGCCAAGAAGCCCTGAGAGCAAGAGGCTTTGAGAATGAGAGGGCCCTGAGTTCAAGATTTAATACCACCACCTCAAAAAAGTCCTATATTCAAGTTGAAAGAAGAGTGGTTATTAGCAGCTGGATAGGGAGAGGAAAGTTGGGGTCAGAGGCAGGCTGCATATGAAGAACCAAATGCAATTAGAGACAAGAAACATGTCTTAGTGTTCAATAGCCCAGTTGCATGAACTATAGTCTATAACAGTTTATATTTTTTAAGACTAAAGAAGAATTTGGAGGTTTCTAACACAGAAAATGATAAATGTTTAAGGAGATGGAAATGCTAATCACTTTGATTTTATCACTACATATGGTATGCATGTACTGAATTATTATACTATATCCTACACATGTGTACAATTATGTCAATGAATTATTTTTGCAAAAGAGATCAATATTTTCTGACTTTTCCAATTTTGAAAAGTTTTATCTTGATAAATGTTCATTTTACAGAAAGACAAAGAAAATCCTTAGCCAATATTCCTCAAGAAATTCACTGCCTAAAACATTTATTATTTTTGTTCTACATAAAGTTCTAGATTAGGCAAAAGTGATCTCTATCAACCTTGTGCTTTTTTTTCTTTCTTTTTTTTTTTTTTTTTTTGGTAAGTAACAGTCCAAAGGTACTGATTTTAAAGTGATGCTAAAATACTTAAGACTCACCTGAACTGCAGCAGCATCTTGGTTATTGTAATGATAGAGTAGTCCAAGTGCAAAGTACCTAGAAGAGAGTAAGTTATTCAGCACTGTCCCGTCCCCTTTCTGCCACAGGTGGAACCCACCCCACATCCCATCCTCAGCCCCTGGTTCTACTGAACTTAGAGTAAAACAACCAGTTCCAAACAACAAAAGAAACCCTGTTTGTTTAACTTATTCACTAAAAAGTATAATCTAAGGCAGGTGCTGATGGCTCATATCTGTAACAGGACTCTGAGAGCCAAGCATTACAGTTCAGAACCAGTCCAGACAGGAAAGTCCATGAGACTCTTATCTCCAAGAAACTTCTAAAAGTTAGAAGTGAAGTTGTGGCTCAAGTCGTATAGCACTAGAGTTGAACAAAATAGCTGAGGGATGGCACCCAGGTTCTAAGTTCAAGCTGACCCCCCCACCCCCCCCACACACACATGAAGTATGCTCTATTGATCCTCAAATAGGGTCTGATTCTAATCTAAGAAAAGCCAAAACAGAAAACCATAATAACAACATTAAAAACAACACTGGAGGCAGCGGCGGTAGTTGTGAAGGTGGAAGGGAAGGGATGGTAGGGGGAAACCAATCCTCAGTAGGAAATGTACTCATTACCTTGCTCATATAACTGTAAACCCTCTGTACAACATTTTTACAATAAAAACCGTACAAAAAAACCCCACTGGAACTGTCTTACAATTTGCTTCAAATATTAATTAAATTTCCTCCCCCAATCTCAGCTTCTTGTATAGCATGGGATGATACATGTATGCTACTTTATTTAGATATGAATTGAGAAGGAGTTTCTAGAAATTTTCTGTCTGGGGTGGCCTAAAATTGAGATCCTCCTGATGTCAGCCACCCAGGGTATCTAGGATTGAAGGCGTGAACCACTGGTGCCAGGCAATTATTTCAAATTCCTACCAAAAATCATAGACCAAAAAAAAAAACCCATTATTGCTTACACAGGACTGAAGCTCACCCATTCCATGCCCCTCATTTTAAGGGGAAGAAAACCCAGACCTACAATGGTTAGGCACTGTGGCCACCTGCCACAGAAGAAGAAAATGCTGGTCCCAATCAAGCCAGTCATTGTGAATTCACTCCCCATGGACACGAGGCAGCGGTTGTAATGAAGGCAAAGTGTGAAACCAGGACTTTGTATCAGGGAGACTAAGCAGCTCCCTTTTCACCTACATGTACAGGTATCTACCTCATCAATTTGATTATCACAGACTTCACTGCACTGCATGAGGCATCTTTCACAGGTGCAATGTAGGTTGACAATAGAGGCAAACATAAAAATCCCTTTATTTAAAATGAATGCATTTCCTTACTTACATAACTGTAGCCCCTCTGTACATCACCTTTACAATAAAAAAATTTTTTAAATGGATAATGACTGAAGAGATGGAAGGCTCCATTGAGGGTGATGGGTACCCCCCTGGGAGGGGAGTGGCTAATGAGGGGATAGTAAATGAGGATAATTTATTTTTGCATATTTGAAAACAGATCAGTGAAACCTGTTAAAACTGTTTGGGGAAAGGGAGCAGGATGGGGAAGAGAATAGAAGAAGGGTGACTGACACTCAAAGCGTGTGCAGAAATGTCACAAGAGAATCTCTGTACAATTTCTACGTGCTAATAAAAAAATCTGTTCATTTAATAATAAAGCACATGCAGCTTCCACAGTCTCCTACATTCTTTAAAAAATGAGCAGGAGTCAGGCGCCAGTGGCCCATGCCTGTAATCCTAGCTATGCAGGAGGTTGAGATGTGAGGATCATAGTTCAAAGCCAGCCTAGGGAAAAAACTCTGGGTGATTCTTTTTTTTTTTAATTTAATTTTTAATTTTTTTTTTTTTTGTCGGTCGTGGGGCTTGAACTCTGGGCTTGGGCGCTGTCCCTCAGCTCTTCAGCTCAAGGCGAACGCTCTACCACTTGAGCCACAGCACCACTTCCAGTTTTCGAGTGGTTTATTGGAGATAAGAGTCTCATGGACTTTCCTGCCCGACCTGGCTTTGAACTGCAATCCTCAGATCTCAGCCTCCTGAGTAGCTAGGATTATAGGCGTGAGCCACGGGCGCCTGGCTGGGTGATTCTTATGTCCAATTAACCAGGGAAAAAGCCAGAAGTGAAGCACTGGTTCAAGTGGCAGAATGCTAGCCTGAGTGAAGAAAGATAAGGGAAAGCATCATGGCTCTGAGTTCAAGCCCCGGGACCAGCACACAGAAAAAAGAATGGGTAGGAGACCCCTAAGATAGAATGATAACAAGGTTTTCTGAGGAGTACAAGCTGCCTGTAGTCTCTGTCTAGTCACCATGGGGACCCCTGGCAGACCAAATGTCACTGGCTAAGCCAGCTTCCCAACAGTGTTACCAGCAGAAGGCCTGGCCTCCACACTGGATGCCCATGAGCTGGGCTGGAGCCCTTATAACCCTCCCTGGGAGGAGAGGGAAGGACTACACTCACTTTTTGTGCTTTTCCAGCCAGGCAGCACTGTCGGTGAGGAGGCAGAAGTTTTCAGTGACCAGGAGGTCCAGCAGGCTGTCGTGGTCTGCCTCTGCATAGAGCTTGAGCAAGGCTGTGTCGATGTCTTCTTTGTAGCCATTGGCCACCTCTGTGCTGCGGACCTCATTCAGGTAGCTCATGAGAAAACGCTTGCACTTGGCCATCTTCTCCTGGTCGCCTTGGGTGAGCTGGTTCAGGTCTGCGTACTCATGAAGAGGAGGGTGAGACCGGGTGAATGAAGAGGAGGTGGGCAACAGGAAGGGGTAGAGAGAGATCAGCTCCCGGACATCAAGCTGGCCGCTTCTGCAATTACAGTGTCAAACTAAATGAAGCAAAAAGAGAGAAAGAGTACACATAGGCACACAAACGACACTGGAGGGCGGTGCCATGGCACACAGTCATGGGGTGGATGTAGGGGTGCATGTCAGAAAGACAACCTAAATTGCAAGTACCATGAAGGACTACCAAACTGGATGCCTCCACATAGTTCCGAAAAAGAACAGAGGGACAATGGGGAAAGACACGTATACATACAATGTGGAAGTGCAACACCAAGATATCTAGGCCACTGGGAAGCCCCTGATTAGGCCTGGGCTCCCTCAAAGCCAAGGCATAAAAAGCTACACCGAGGATAACATGGTATCTGAGTTTGAACAAGTCAGTATCATGATTCCTTCCAAACCAATGCTCTCCTAACATTAAATTGTTAACAGATTGCTGAACGGTTTTTTTAAAAGGTACTTCATAAGAATCTAACTTATAGGGGGGCTGGGAAGGTGGCTCAGTGGTAGAGCACTTGCCTTGCATGCCTGAGGCCCTGTGTTCGATTCCTCAGCACCACATAAGCAGAAAAAAAAAAGCTGGAAGTGGTGCTGTGGCTCAAGTGGTAGAGCACTAGCCTTGAGCTGAAGAGCTGAGGGACAGCGCCCAGGCCCAGAGTTCAGGCCCACGTCCAGATCCAAAAAAAAAAAAAGAATCTAACTTATAATGTTCTCAGTGACAGTCTGAACATGAGACAGAAGTATTCGTGTGGCCATTTCTGTTACGACATCTGATAGAATTTCAGAGCAAAACAACGGACAACACTTTGAAATGGTCTCCATACAGTTGTACACATTGTAATCCCAGTCCCTTAGGAGGCAGAGCAAGGAAGATCAAGGCTAACCCAAGCAAAAAAATAGTATCAAGCTGGATGTGGTGGCTCGTGTCTATAATCATGGCTAATGGGAGGCATGGGTAGGAGGATCATGATCTGAAACTAACCCTGGGGAAAAACTCAAGAGATCCTATCCTGGAAAAAAAAAAAAAAGTAAAAGGGCTGAGGAGTGTGGCTCAAGTGGTAGAGCATCTATCTAGAAAGCACAGGGCCTTGAGTTCAAAGCCCAGTACCAAGAACATTAAGGAAGGAAGGAAGGAAGGAAGGAAGGAAGGAAGGAAGGAAGGAAGGAAGGAAGGAAGGAAGGAAGGAAGGAAGGAAGGAGAGGGAAGGCAGGGGAAAGAAAGAGAGGAAGGATGGGTAGAGTATCAACCTTCCCAAGGCACAGGAAGCCATATTAAGTGACCTCCCTGTCTCTAATCCATCGCTAGGTCCTTTCCTACCTCCTCTCCTCCAGCCCATTGGTCTTGTCTAGTCTCAGCAGTTAATGGTAGCAAGCTATAGCTCTCTACCTCAGCCAATTTAGACTCATCTGGGGGAAAACTCTTGAAACAGAAGCAAGAGCTGTCCCCACTCCAGATGCATGGGAAGATGAGGAAGGCCCTGTGGCCATCACTGCCTGCAAAGTTTGCTACACATGTCTTCAGTCCATCTGACTTCATCCTCCGCTGCACCAGCCTCTGCCTCTGGCCTCTACTACCTCCATTCCTCTCTGCACCCTCACCCTCTCCTGACCTGCAAGGGTTTGGATAAACTTCAGAGCCCTCAAGACAGCAGTCAAAGCTCTTTCTACAATGATCCCACACTAGCTTTCCACTTGTGCCCCTCTCCTCACAGCCAGCATATCAACTACATCTGCTGACCTCACCAAGACTGATGTCATCTCTCAGCTTGGGCTGTTCCAGGGCCTTTGCCTAAAACAGAGGTTCTTAGCAGGGCTTGAAGGACCTCCAGCACAACTGAAAACTTTTATCACGACTTGGAGTGTGCCACTGATGTCAAGTGGACAGAAATCATGGCTGCACCTAGCTTGGCCCCATGAGATCTGAGGTGCCCTGTGCTTCTTGTTCTGCTTAGGCCAAGTTTGCTAAATGAAAGATGCGCTACACCTAACTACCTACAGAGTGAGGCAGCTGCAGTCTCCAGAAGAGGAGATGGCATAGGGCCCACGACATAAAGGATATATGCTTTTCTTACTGGTATCAACCATGACAAACTGGCAGCGTACCTTCTGGTTCAGTCTTGGAAAGGAGCCTGAGGACAAGTCCCAGGGCAACAAGGGAAGAATCCTGACTTACTAGCAACATGAACCTTGGGCATAGGAAGGGGACTCATCTTTGTCTGAGGAGTCGCTCAACCAAACTCCTGACTTATGCTAAGCAGTCAGTGTAAAGATAAGCTTCTAAGAGTGCGGAAGAACCTGGACTTTGTAATAGAGCAAGTGATCAGTCACTGTGGACAGCAGCTCATGCTGAGGTCAGATGTGTAGTGGATGGTGCTCCGGAGACAGCTCTGCTCAAGTCCTTCCCAAGATACAAGTGAACTATCTGGTAACCCTTTTCTTGGTTAGATGGCTCTACTCTACATTGCTCAGTCAGCTCTGGTGAAGCAATGTGAAAAAACTTTTTATTCTAAAGGCAGAGCTCTAGTGAGACATGTGAAGGCTATGGTAGCCGGTGTAACTTCCTCTCCAGCAAGGACTTGCTGAGCAGTTTCCCATCTCAGGGAGCACCAGGAGTAAGAAGCAAGGGCAGCAGGAAGACCAAGTGTAGTGCTGAAGGTGACAGGTGAGGGTGAGGAAAAGCAAGTAAGAGAATGAGAATAAGAAGACAGTGAGCAAGAGAAGAGAACTCACATGAGATCCCACAGGGCAGCTCTCTACAGGTGCAACACGAATCAGAAGGCCAGAAGAATCTCCCTAAGACTAACTCAACTCCCTACGAGAACAGATCAGGAATATTATTATTTGTAGTGTGTGTGTGTGTGTGTGTGTGTGTGTGTGTGTGTGTGTGTGTGTGCGAGCACGTGTGTGTGCGCTAGTACTGGGGCTTGAACTCAGGGCCTGGATACTCTCTTAGTTTTTTTCACTCCAAGCTGGCACACTACCACTTGAGCCACAGCTCCACTTTCAGCTTTTTGGTGGTTCACTGGAAGTAAATGTCTCACGGATTTTCAAACCACCATCCTCAGATCTCAGCCTCCTGCGTAACTAGAATTATAGGCATGAGTCACTGGTGCCCAGGTGGAATATAACATTTAAAGTCATCATTTCTCTTAGCTTTTTCTGAACTCAATTTCTAGCAAAAATCTCTGGATAGGATTCCTTAGAATCCTTCCTTCGTGTTACCAAATTCACTCCTCTGAATCATGTTGTCCTGGCTCAGCAACCTGTACCCTTTGCAGCCTTCCTGGGGCTCTCCTCGGCCCGCCTCCTAAGGACTGGGGATTGTTGGATACATAAAGGGTGGGGTGGATCCGAGGAACTGGTGAGGGCGATGTGAGCTGAGGTGAGCCCCACCACTCTTCCCCGCAGCTCCATCTCACCATCTAACTGTCCATGTTTCCCATCATGACATCACAATGAGACTCTGGGCACAGGGGGCACTGGAGTGGCAGGCTTGCTACCAACACCCCAAATTACCTGAAGAGCTCTTTAGCTTCCAGGAACTGAAGCTGTGCAAACTGTATAAAGCCCGCCTGCTGTAGGATCCTTCTGTACATTACCTGCAAGGAAAGACACGTTTGATCTCTGAGCCATCTTAAAACCATTACCAAAGGGGGACACCCACAAGTCAAGCTACTTGATAATGACTACAAGGATATATGATGACATTATGATTTTCAAAAAGAAGTATATCCAATTATATATAGTCATTCTCTAGCATTAAAGAGGGACTGGATTCGGAATCCCTATAGATAGCAACATGCAAGGATACCTATGTAAAACAGCACACTGCCTCCACACAACCCCTACACATCCACCAGCGCTGTCAATCATCTCTACATGAAATGCAGCACCTAACACAATGGAAATGCTCTGTAAACAGTTGTTACACTGTATCATTTGGGGAATAATGATAAGAAAATTATCAGTACACATGTCATTTTTATTTATTTTTGCAATACTCCAGATTGAACCAAGGCCTTCATACACACTAAACAATCTCTGAGCCACATCTCCAGTCCCCCACAATTTATTTTTTTCTGAGTATCACTGATCTGCCGTTGATTGGATTCATTGCTCTGGAAGCTACAGCTGAGGAGAGGCTGATTGTTTTTTGTATACACACACAGACACACACACACACACACACTTCACAGATTTTTTTTCCTGAGTCCTTGTGTATACCCTTCTCCTCTACCTTCCTCCTCATTGACCCACAGGGTCTCCTTGGTGGCTTCTACCTCTAGCTGCTCAGTTGACTACCACAGCTCCGGGGGCCTGGTTGTCCAAGTGCTGCCCATTCCCCCACACTTCTGGAATAGACTCTTCACAGGAGTATTTCTCAGATCATCCCTCAGACACAAGGCTGGGCTCACATAACCACTGAAGAGATACAGATATCTAGACTTTCTCAGCCGAGGCTGGGCAGGTGCCATACTTCGAAACGTCCTATTTCCTGGTGACATCTGTGCTATGCATATAGCTGACTAAAGTTCCTGCTATAAATGTGCCAGTCCACCTGAATCTGACCCACCCAAGACCATGCAGTCCTCAACCACAGGACCCCTGTTCTGATAACACCCAGCAACAGCCAAACACACCTCAGAGACTTGCTTGTGGTACCAATCCAACCTCCAGTCTCAGTGCCAAGCTACCATGTCTGAGTTCTACCCAAGCCTGATCTGAGACAGCTTCTGCACATGTCTCTTTGCTCTGTTCTCATAGATTCTGTCGCCACCACTCAAGCTCTTGCCACCTCCCAACAGAGTGCCTGCGTTTCAGCTGCCCTCTCATCATGAATTCCTCCCCTGCAAATGTGGGTTTCATTAGCTATACAATCCTTGAACACATCATGAATCTTCGTACCCATAACACTGGCCTCACCTCTGCCCTATACGCAGGGTGTCTGAAGGACTGACTGCCTGGTTTGCTGCTAGGGAACCCCACATGCTCATTTTAAAGACAAAAGTTCTGCTCAGAGATGATGGAGAAATTACAGTAATAAATGGTTTCGGTGTGTTTTGCTGTGGCTGGGTGTTACCATGGGTGAATGCTAGAATCATATCCAAACCACAACATAGATATTCTCAACTTTCCCACCCACACAGAAACGGTTCAATTTACATTCTTACAAGTTACGTACAAAAACTCATTTTCCCCACACTCTATTCAAACTCATACATCAAACTCTTGCTCTCTCATTATCTGATAAATAAAAAATATATGGGTGAATTTTTAATGTGCACATGAGTGAATCAAAGCATTCTTTCATGTCTATTAGACAAACAATTTCATTCTAGTTCTCTGTTGGTCTACTCATCTTTCACTTCAGTATTCTAAGAAAGTTCTTCACATCCTAGAGAAATTTGCCTTCTTTCTCTGCTGTAAATTACAAATACTTTTGCTTTTGGACTTGTTTACAGTAAGTTACCTTTGACAGTAAGGATAAAGCCCTCATGAATAGGATCCATATGCTTCTAAAAGTCCCTGGACAGCTTGCTTCCCATCTACACAGCTATAAACTAGGAGCCTCACCAGAAACCAAGCCTACTGGACCTTCATTTGGATTTCCAGCCTCCAGAATAGTCAGAAGTAAATTCTTGTTGTTTAACTGACCCCCAGTTTCTGATATTTTGCTATAGCAACTTGAACTGAATGAGAAGAAGAAAATATAAATGGCTAATAGCCCCATGAAGAAATGTTCAACATGCCATAAAGGAATTGCAAATCAAAACCACACTAAGACTCCTTTTCATCTCTGTCAGAATGGCAGTCAGCAAGAAAAGAAACAACAAATGCTGGAGGATTTAGGGAAAAGGAACCTTCATTCACTGCTCATATAACTACTATGGAAATCAATATGGAGGGTTCCCCAGAAAACTAAAAATAGACTACTTATGACCAAGGCATACAACTTTTGGACATAAACCCAAAGAAGTATAAAATGCAGATATAAGAAATATACCTGCATACCTATGTTTCTTGCAGCACTTTACAATAGCCAAATGATGTAATTAGATAAGGTACCCAATAATGATGAATAAAATAGATCTAACATATACACATATACACACAAACTGGAATATTACACAGAAATAAAGAAAAGTAAAATCATGTCATTTTTAGGAAAATGGATGCTACTGGAGATCATCATATTGAGTTGAGAAAAAGCTAATAGGAAAAAAAAAACAAGCAAAACAAGATACCCTGTTTTTGCTCAGAGACCTAAACACATAATACATATTCATAGACACAAACATAGATATATGTCTTGTATACATAACTATACATGTATAAACACAGAACATAAGTTCAATTAAGGAACTACTTAGGAGTAAAAAGGGAAAAGAAAAAGTGAATAACTTTTTGTAATAAATTACAAGTACAGAGGAAAACAGTATACAGACCTCAATTAAAGCTGTTTATTAATAAGGGGTTGGGAGGAAGGGAAAGAAAACCTGGCTGTGTTGGGGGTAGATACATTAGGAGGAAGTTGGATTAATGAGAGTAAAAGAAGATGAATATGGCTAAAATAGATTGCCTGCATGTATGCAAATAAACAATGAGGAAATGGAGTTATGGCTGAAGTGGTAGAGTGTTAGCCTTGAGCAAAAACCTCAGGGACAGCACACAAGCCCAGGTACCAGGACTAGCACAAGGGAGGGAGGGAGGGAAGGAGGGAATGAGGGAGAGAGAAAGAGAGAAAGAGCGGGAGAGAGAGAGAGAGAGAGAGAGAGAGAGAAAGGGAGGGGGGAGGGAAAGGGCAAATGAAGAAAGGAAGGAGGGAAGAAAGGAAGGACAATAAATAAACTGAAACTGTATTAGGAGGGAAAGGGAGAGTGATAGAGGAAAGAAAATTAATTAGATTACATTGTATACACGTGTGGAAATGCCACAATATGACCCTTCCCATACTAACAGATAAGAAGTGGTGGTGTAGTTTTTTCCAATTTTTATTCCCTTCCTATAGAAAAAGGGAGTAATTAGTTCACAGCATTATTGGTCATAAACAAAAGGGAGAAGCAACTCAAATGCCTATCACAGGTGACCTGGATAAGCAAAATATGGTATTGTGTCCATAAAATATCCTTCTTCAGAAAAGAGATTCTGACATATATCACAACATGGATGAATCCTGAAGACATCATGTGGAGTCACAAGCCAGTCACAAAAGGAAAACAGCATGCCAAAAGCCTACAAATACATAACCAAATACTCAACAAGGCAGCCCTACAAATCCGAAAACAGGAGCCAGGAGGGACAAGCCAGCGCCAGTGACAGGGCCTGGGAGGTGCCCCACACTTGGGGTAGGGAAGCAGAGAGAGCAACAAAAGACTGAGATAGGGAAAGTCAGAGTCCCCACGCCCTCCTGGAAACTGCTAAGAAGCTGGCAATTGTACAAGGACAGCAGTGGAAAGTGGAAGGAGAACCACATAGACGCTCAATGCCACCCCTGGACAGTGCAAAACAGAAAATAAAAAAAAGAAAGCAAAGCCCAAATCTAGGCATCGAAGTTGCTACTGGGAAATTCAGATGATTATTATTGTATTATATTGTGGTGGTGGGGCTCTTCAACTCAAGTGGAGTGGTCTACCACTTGAGCCACAGTGCCACTTGCAGTTTTCTGGTGATTATTTGGAAATAAGAGTCTCATGGACTTTACTGCTGGGGCTGGCTTTGAACCACGATCCTCAAATCTCAACCTCCTGAGTAGCTAGATTATAGGAATGAACCACTGGTGCCTGACTATGCTTTTTGGTTTTTTTACTACAGTGCTTTATAATGGTGCACTGTAGAAAGTTTCTCAAAGGTAGGTGAGTCATGAATTTTATATGTAACCCAAAGGGTCTTCAAGGTGATTTCTACAGAAGCTAAAATCCCAGAGGATTGAGGTTTGAAGCCAGCCTGGATAGAAAAGTCTATGAGACTCCATCTCCAATTAAAATGCCAGACAGAGGCCTAGCTCAACTGCTGAGCAAGCAAGCTCAGTGAGAGCAAGTTCAAACCCTGGAACTGGAAAAATAAAAATAAAAATAAGGAAAGTGGTACTGGTTAGTACTAAGTTCTTCTGAGGAGAAAAAACAAAGTTTTCCAGTGTCACACAGAGTGCCTGACACAGGGCAGGTCCGCAGCTATTTTCCTTGGTGTCACCTCCTGAGGCAGGTTAGGCACACGTCCATGAGAGAATACTAGGCCAGAGAAGTAGCTGGACCAAGCTATAAATCCTACCAGGATATGAACTTCCCATGGGCACCAATGGGCCTGAGGTATGTTAATCAAAGAATCTGGTGTGTGGGGAAGACAATCATTACACAGTAGTATGCAGGACGAGCTGCAGACACACATGCAGAGACAGATCAATCCCACAGCAGTGTCATGCGGGATGCATGCGGGAGAAAGGTCATCCCACAGCAGCACACAGGATGAGCTGCAGGAGCACAGAGGCGGCTGTCAAAACAACTCAGGGAAAACAGAAGAAGGTTCTAAATGCCTTCATAACAACAGAACTGAGACTAAAGACTGACCTGAATAGACTTGTGAAGAAGTGTCTCTATAGCCCAGGTATGAGTGTAGAGCAAAACAGGGAGAAAGCAGCAAGCAGCAAGAAGGAAAAAGAAACAACACAGAGCTAGTAGATGGGACAGAAAAGGGGCTCGTTGCTTCAAGTACTATCTGTGCATCTACTCTTGGAAAAAAGAGTAGAGGAGGAAAAAGCAAAAATCAGATAGAATACTGAAAGCCTCTATATAAGAAAATGTTACAGACTTAGAGTGCAGCGCACGTGATGTGTGTGTGTGTGTGTGTGTGTGTGTGTGTGTGTGTGTGTGTGTGTGTTCTCGGGTGTGTAATGAAGGGTGGTGTCTCCCCATGTACATCATGGCCCTTGAAGGACCTACATGGTGAGGGGGCACTGAACACAACCCCTCTTTACAAAAGAACATTAGCCAGATGCAAACAGTGCAGGAGATCTGACTCCGACCCTGTGTCTGCCCCCCAAGCAGGGTAAGGCTGCCACTACTGCCCTAAGTGCAAGTGAACCTCTGTAAGTGCCCTGCACAAAATCTGGCCCTGCACTGACAGTCACTCTTCTTTTTGCTTCTGCTGCCCCCTGCTGGATGCTCAGATCAGTTTTCTTCGGCAACAGTAAAGAACACAGGAAAACTTCATCAGTGTTGACAAACAGATAAAATACCTTCTGTCCAACCCTAGCAACAAGCGACACACCTTCTTTGTTAAAACCTGCCCTGCTAGATATAAAATTCAATGTCAAAATCTGCCCTTTCCTTTGCAACTGAGGCCTAAACATATCTTCTGTCCAACAGTATTCCCAGAACTAACTTTATTCTGAGAACTTTTAATGACCAAGTAGTAAGTCATATGAAGTGCATGCACACATCAAGATTATGTTTAATTAGTCTCAAATAATAGGTAGAGTAACCTAAATGTGCCAACATCTGAGTGAGTAGCAATTTCTGCAAAGTTTGATTTCTATCAGTTATATTTAAAACACCAATTACTCTTTTTGTTGTTGCTGGTCTTGGGGCTTGAACTCAGGGCCTGGGTGCTGTCCCTGAGTTCTTTTTTGCTCTACTACTTTGCCATAGGTCCACTTCTAGTTTTCTGCTGGAGATAAGAATCTCATGGACTTTCCTGCCTGGGCTGGTTTCAAACCACAATCCTCAGATCTCAGCTTCCTGAGTAGCTAGGATTACAGGTATGAGTCGCTGGTGCCTGACTTACCAATCACACTTTTAAAGGTAGTTTCTTATGCATATTTTCTCCTAGGGCTGGTATGAGTAGTGGCTCATGTCTGGAATGCCAGCTACCCAGTAGAGGGAAATTGGGAGGGTCATATTTTAAGGCCATCCCAAACCAACAAGCTGGATTTCAAGGTGCACATCTATCATACCAGAGATACAGGAGGCCATACATAAGCAGGAAGGTTTTGATCTGAGATCAAACTGGGAAAAAAATGCAAGACCCTATCTGAAAAATAATTAAAAGCAAAAGAGGGGTGGAGGCATGGCTAATATAGTAGAATACCACCTTAATGTATACAATGTACTGATTTCAAATCCAAAGTCTCACCAAAAAAATTTTTTTCTCCCCACTGAGCATGCTGCTGTATGCCTATAATCCTAGCAGAAGACTGAGGATTCCTAAGGCAATCAATCAGCTGGGTTCCTGAAATCTAAGGACTTTGTCAATGTAATGGGCAAAGTACTTCTTACAAATGACAGAGCTCAAAATTTTAACTGAACCCCATCCAAACAAATACAAATTCTGAAATCAAAGACCAATTAACCCAACTTCATTCTTCCATTTATAAGAACTACATCATTGATTCTACTCAGAAGAATGTTGATTAGAAATACATTCAGCTTGGGCTGGGAATGTGACTTAGTGGTAGAGTGTTTGCCTAGTATGCATGAAGTCCTGTATTTGATTCCTCAGTACCACATATACAGAAAAAGCCAGAAGTGGCTCTGTGGCTCAAGTGGTAGACTATTAGCATTGAGCAAAAGAGGCTCAGGGACAGTGCCCAGGCCCTGAGTTCAAGCCCCAGGACAACAACAATGATGAAGACAAGAAGGAGGGGGAGAAGGAGGAGGAAGAAGAGGAGGAGGGGGAGGAGGAGGAGGAGGAGGAAAAAGAAGAAGGAAGGAAGGAAGGAAGGAAGGAAGGAAGGAAGGAAGGAAGGAAGGAGGGAGGGAGGGAGGGAAGGAGGGAGGGAGGGAGGGAGGGAGGAGAAATGCATTTAGCCTAACAAGGACCAGAATCACATTCAAAGTTGAAACCTGACCTATCTGCCATTGCTGTGCAACCTTAATGGAGCTATTTAGCTGCTCTGCAACCTGTTTCCTTGCCTCTAAACCACAGATATGTTGAAAGAAAGAAATCATAGAAAGCCATGTATAGACTGTGTAGAGTCTAATGTCGAATAAAGTCAATATATGTGACTTAATTCCAGATGTTTTGTAAATGGCATGCTTTCCTGGGACTAGTCAATTACCAACCTGAAATTTTTCTTTTGGAATGTTCCTCCGGGCTCCTTTCGCTAAAACCAAAGCCTCCTCCACTCTGTGGCTTGCTAGCAGATCCTGTATTTGTTTTTCCAGAGGCAATGGGACCAAGATATAAACTCCTTTACTTGTGGCAACAATCACTCTTCCTGGGAAGAAATGTAATATTACTGGAAAGGAAAAAAGCACTGCTTGCAAGAACTCATGCAGCTTTCCTCAGTCTGGATCATTATCTGGCTTGCTTATCAATTTCTCCAGTTTTGCCAATAGAATTCCTGCAGAAACTGTAAGTTAATGCCTCCTTTTCTCCTATAAACTTGTCAGGAAAAGAAACACTCTTAGAATTACATTTCCTTAGCATTTTTTAAATAAGTACTAGTAAATTTAAACTCAGTGTAGGAGATATGCAACACAGACTCCGCACAAGTTTCAAAGCTAGCCTCATACAAAATTTGTTAGAAATTCTTTTCCTTTCCTTCCAAATTAGTTTACATACACTAAGCTTTATTTCAATATTCTGAATGATGAAATATTTCATGCTCTCCTTCCCCCCACCCCAAATAGTTCCAAGTCTTGCTATTTTCTTTCTCATTTCTCTACCATCCTACCAGATCACCTGGCTCATGGCCAGCATCGTCACCTCTGTACCTGTGAAAGCCTCAGGTGGCCTGTGGAAGGGTCAAGACTACAATGCAAGACTAACTCCTGCTATTGAGCTTTCAAATTAAATTTGAAACTTTCAGCTAAGTATTAACTGTTCACAGGAAGCAAACAAGCTCATCGGCAAAGGTGTCATTCCTTGATTCCCCTCTGTACACACCAAGCACTGTGGCCCTACTCTGCTGCTGGGGGGCTGGAAGCTCATATTGGTGCTTGTTCACACACACCTTTCTACCAGACAGGTCTTCACATCACACTGCTTGCCTGACTCTTACACAACCTGAGTTTGGCTCAAGTACCATCTCTCTCATGAGGCCCTTCCTGCTACCTCCAGGAAGTGCATCCTCCTCTGCTCTCTTAGGAGCCTTATTCCATGTCTGTTGAGATATAAGCCATTGTAACAGTGCATTCGAGTGTCAGTCTCCCTGTAACCCTACAGTTGCTGCAGCTGCTGAGACACAGGGACTGTGTTAAGAATCATTCATTTGTGGATCTTCCATGCTCAGCATGAAGCCATTCCAAATGGGTCCTTAACATCATTTACTGCAGATGTATCAAAAAAAAGGTTTAATATGTAGATTTCATTAACATGTCTATGTCAACAGGTACCTTCAAAGTCCTGCAGGATATGGCCCTCCTTAAAGGGCAGGGTCTGTTTTTGCTGTTGATCCAACATGCTATGGACTGTGATGAACTCAGCATCAAGCGCAATGACATATGGGAAGCAGATGGCTGCCCCTACCACATTCTCCGACCAGTGCACGGGGGCCCGCTGAGAGATCCCAGCCACCGTTGCAAACATGCCTAAAAAAAAATCAGGACAAAAGCGTTAGCAAATATTCAAATAACACTAACTTCTTCCTAAAGATACATCTGAGTGCAGAATACCTCCTCCCCTGCTTATATTTCAAGAAAATCAATAAATCCAGGCATCTATTGCTCATGCCTGCAATTCTAGCTACTCAAGAGGCTAAATGTGAGGGACATGATTCAAAGCCATCCCAGGCAAGAAAGTCTGTGAGACTCATCTCCAAATAACCACCAAAAAGTCAGAAGTGGACAGGTGCTCAAGTGGTAGAGCTCCAACCTTGAGTGAAAAAGGTAAAGGACAGCACCAAGGCCCTGAGTTTAAACCTAAGTACAGCACAGAGACAGAGAAAGACACAGAAGGAAAAAAAGGAAAAGGAAAGAATGAAGGAATACACTCAGGTACAAATAACCCTATTGGACTTTGGCAAAGATAACTACCTTACCTAGAACGTCATATCTGCTTCAAAAATAACAAGGTTTAAAATGTTTCCTCTTAGCCAACATGCATTTAAAGTACACATCCTCATGGGGGGGAGAGGGAGGGAAGCCACTTTCAACCATATGTGATGCTTTCTTTCAGCTGGCTAGCCCTGTGTTCCAGTTCCTTGTCCCTCCCATATTCTCCCACACACTTACTATGTGCTCAGCACTCCACCAAGTGTTCTTTCGGGAACTGGCCATACACTGAGTAAAGGTTTAACTTTGCATATAACTGGGTATATTCCTTTACTATGGAATAGTTGTATAACCTACCATAATGAAGGAGTTTTACAATGCAAACAATGAACATGGTTTTACAAGGAAGCCTCATAGCTGAGGCTAATAGGACATGTCTAGGCAGGAAGATAGATGGATTAAAAATAATAAATCCAGACACAGATCCACTAGCATCAAGGAATAAAGCCATCTAAATAAGTGAGGAAAAGATGGCCTTTTCAATACTTTGTGAGATGACTAGGAAGCCATATAAAATCCATACTTTATGTAAGAAATGAGACTGTAAAGTAAGAAAACAGAGGTGAATTTAGAGGATGAGGAACTATTCCTAATGGTACCAGTCCAGAAGGAACTGAGAAGGGCTCTGGTGGCTGACTACTGTCATCTTAGCTACTCAGGAGGTTGGGATCAAGAGGCTCATGGTTTGAAGCTAGTCTGGGTATAACAGACTGCAAGTCTCCATTTCCAGCTAGCTAGCACAAAGCTTGACTGGAGGTTCAAGTGGTAGAATGCCAACTAAGTGACGCCCTGAAGTCAACCCTGACAACAGGAAAACCAATAATAATAATAATAATAACTTTAAAAATTGAAATATTTAAAAAATTGAAATGTTAAGATTATATTATATAAACTTTTTAAAGCAGCTTTGGGCCTGGCACCAGTGGCTCATACCATAATCCTAGCTACACTGGAGGCTGCGATTTGAAAATTGCAGTTTGGTGAGACAGAAAAGTCCCTAATTAAACACCAAAAAAGCTGGAAGTGGAGCTGTGACTTCAGTGCTAGAGAACTAGCCTTACCTAGGCCCCTGAGATCAAGCCCAGTGTGCATGTGCACGCATGCGCGCGCGCGCGCGCGCGCGCACACACACACACACACACACACACACACACACACACAGCGCCAAAGTGAAGCTACCATTTAGCTAAGAAAGAGGAAGATATATTGACATACTGTTTATAAGCTTTCTTTAAAAATGAAAGATAAACCCACAAAATACAGGTCATGAGTGAGAGAAGGAGAAAGCAGGTGGGCAGAACATACATTCATCTTCTTTTGAGTAGTCCTTGCTATATCTACCTACTTTAGAAATCTGTTTTATGTAATGAACAAATAAACAGAACTAATTTCCTGAAATCTGAAGGTAAAGTGAAGGGAATCAATGTAACTGCAGCTCCAGTTGTTGGCAAAACCACACAGAAGGGAACTAGTCCAAGTGACTTGAAACACAGCAACTCTTGATTGCTAATGTCCTAAGGACAAAAGGCACCAGCACCAATCAGCCTTTTCCCGGTAATTACATTGTGGGGACAGCAGGCTGGCACTGCAGTTCTGATCCACGCACTGTGGGGTCAATCAAAGCAATGCTTACAGGGTAGAAGGAAGTGGGATTTTTGATGTGTGTGGCTGAAAGGAGACACCAGGATGCAGATGGGTCCTCTCCACATGATGTTAGGATGGAGTTATCTTCAAAGTATGGACTTCTTGGCACTGACTTCCAAAATGCCTGGAAACCAGCACCCTGGCACCCAGAACCCAGGCTGTAACAGCAAGCTCCTGGGAGGAATGGCTGGAACTAGATCTAGGGTATCAAGTACATGAAAAGAACAGCACACACCAGAGAGCCAGGGAGCTATAGGATTTCTAGACAGTCAATGGGCTCAGGAGTCCACCTGAATAAGTCCTCAGGCACTGATGGAAACAGCACACCTCCAGCACTAAACAGTTCCCAATGAGGCTATTAAACAGACAATTGTAGAAGACAGAAGTGATAGCCTCATGCTGCCTTTTTATAACAAAGGACTTGGGGATAACCAAATAATCAAAGAGGAGAAAGTTTGCTTAACTGAAGCATTCTCAAGAATACACAAAGGAGGAACCCACAGAAACACAATGTTGCCCATTGGCAGACCCAATGGGTCTAGGCCATGACCATCAATAGCTTCCCTCAGCATGAAGGGATCTGAAAAGGCCTTGGGTAACCCCTGACAGAAGTACAGTTGTCTTGGCTCCCCACAAAGCAAGCAAAGAAAATCTCCTAATTACCCATTGCAAAATCCCCCACAGAGATCACAGGGCCTAGAGAAGCTCATTGAACAATACTAGGGGCCAAACCATCAAAAGCCAGAGTCTGAAAAACCATCCAATTTCGTCAGCTAAAAATTAAGGGAAAATAAAGAGGGAGAGGAGGAACCTAAAGAACAAGAAAATTAACATCAGATCTATGAACCAATGGCTACATAAGGCTTTGGTTGGAACTGCTACAAATATATGGGAAAAACACAAATACTTAAACATAAGTGTACATGTGTATTATGTACATCTATTATCCATGATAAAATAGAATAAACGCAACATGCCTTGTACATTAGATAACAAGGAACTACTATCATTTTTTAAGTTAGAATTAGTATTATGGTTTTCCTTTCCTGCATGGGTATCTGATTCTTTGAACTATATACCTTGTCCACAGATGAAATGCTAGGATGTCTGGGGTCTGCTTCAACATCAAGCAGGGGGAGTACAGCAGACAGATGTGTAAAGAACTGACAGTGACTGAAGGAGGGTGGTGGCTATCTCAGGTTTATTATACTATTCTCTGTACTGCGCTGGGAAGGTGGCTCAGTGGTAGAGGGCTTGCCTTGCATGCATGAGGACCTGGGTTCAATTCCCCAGCACCACATAAGCAAAAAGGAAAAAAGCCAGAAGTGGCACTGTGGCTCAAATGGTAGAGCACTAGCCTTGAGCTGAAGAGCTGAGGGACAGCGCCCAGGCCCAGAGTTCAGGCCCACAACCGGACCTAAAAACACAAACAAAAACTATTCTCTGTACTATGTAAGTTTATATAGCTTTCCATAAAAAAAACATAATAAAAAATCTGCACTCTTTTGAAGGAAAGCGTGGTCAGAGCAAATAATTTTTTCAAAAAGTAAAAATCTAAGCTGGGCATGGTGGCTCATACCTGTAATCCTAGCTACTCAGAATGAACAAGGTTCCAAACCAGTCAGATCAAAAAGTTCTTGGGACCTCATTACAACAGTAAAAGCTAGCCATGATGTCATGTGCCTGTCACTCTAGATAAGTCGGGAGGCTGAAATGAAAGGCTGAGATTGGAAGAATCATACATCGGACAAAAAGTTCATGAGACAACATCTTAATGAAAAAAGCAAGACTTGCAGTCAAAATAACAATTATGTATTCTGACCCTGACAAATGGAGCTTTGACTTGGTAGTAGAGCACCTGCCTAGCAAAGCCATCAAGAGACTGGGTGACCATCACTCATGGTTATAATTCTAGCTACTCAGGAGGCTGAGTTCTGAGGACTAAGGTTTAAAGCCAGCCTAGGCCGAAGTCTGTAAGACTCTTATCTCCAATTAACCAGAATAAAGCTGGAAGTGGAGGTATGACTCAATTGATAGAACTCCAGTCAAAAGTGAAAAACCTAAGCAAGAATGTGATACCCTGAGTTCAAGCCCCAGAATACTGGCAGAAAGAGGGGGAAAAAAAATCTTAGGAAACAGGCTTGTAAATGTTTATTCTTACAGTTATTTACCTAAATTTCCTCTCCACTTTGGCAAAAAAAAATACACCTGTCTGTGCCTAGTCTGTTTCTGTTCTACTGAATTCACATGCACTGGTGGAGCTGCAGCACTCACTAGTCATGAGACATTGGCCAACCACATGTGGTCCTGCCACAGTCTCACCACACAACCCAACAAGGCTTGAACTCGAAAGGATGTTTCAGTCCTCAGTAGATTTCAAATCTGACTGTGGTCAGCTCCTTCTACAAGTGTGCTATGCTACTTACTGGTATCATAGCTGACATAAGTACTCCGGGACTACCCAACACTTATACAGCCTCACAATGGGTTTCTTAGAACTTGTCGCTAGGCAACACACACAACTAGTAACTTTTCACAGTTGACTGCTTGCTTCCACTGCAGAATGCAGTTGGAGATATTCTGCACCCCCCAACCCCAGGGCAGCAGGCAGAGCTCCCATCCCTCCTCACCCAGGCCTCCGGGGCCAGCCAGCAGGAACTCCTGTCTGCCTATCCTCTTGACAATAGGTGGCTTCTCCTCACTGCAGTAGGGAAACAGGTCCTGGGAGAGGCCCGTGCTATAGTTCAGGATGATGTACTGTGTGGTCAGGGCCAGGCACAGAAAGTAGCCATCTACAGCCACAGCCAGGGGCTGCTCTGGGGTGGACACTTCCTTGACGATCTGAACGCGGTCCTCGTACACCAGAAACATCTGGATGGTCCTACGTTTCACTGAGATGATGCACACTTCCACACAGAATGGGTCCCCACTCACAGGGTTCTCATTCAGAGCAAATGTCACCGCTCCTTTGATGCGAGCCCCGGAGGGGACAGGCTCCAGGTTCAGCATATTGACCAGGGTTATGGAGTTGTCGCACAGCACCAGCAGCCTGTTAAGGGCTGAGGCTGCTCGCAGCTCATTCACGGGCTTCTTGAAGCCCAGGTGCCTGTGCAACTGTTTGGTGGCAGTGAATGAGGATGTGCCGGTGGGCAGTGTCTTCTCCTCCAGCAGGAAGTGGTAAATGAAGCAGTCAGCGGTGCCGATGTAGAGGTTCCTGCCGCAGCATTCCACGCACTCGATGTGGATGCGTTCCTTGTCGCCTGCCAGCAGCTCCTGCTCCACAGCAGAGACCAAAGTGAAGGCCTTGATGCTCATCATGCCGACAGGGTGGTCTGTGGAAGAGGGAGAAACTGAATCCCGGAGGAATGAGGAATGCACAGAAACATCAGGTCTCAGTCCCTGTTTAGCATTTCAGCTACAAAAAGAAATCTGAATGAGATCTTCCTATGATCTGCACTACTAGCTAACGGGGGACTCTGGGTAGCACACAGGATATGCACACACAGCCTAGTGGTATATCCCACTAACTCCCGACAAAGCTGAACACTAGAGGAAACTTCCTCCATTGCTCCTGGGAGAAATGTCTACAGGCAGGAGACCTGTGTTCATCCACAGACAACAAGACAGAAAGAGTAGAAATAGTGCCCATCTTTCCCTCTTACTTTCTATGATTGACAGAATGGCATGACACAACTGCCAGAAACACGGAGGCAGAAAGCACATGCAGGATTCCCATGTTCCTCCCAGTAAGTCCGGGAAGGCACCTTGGGGGCACATCTGCCTCCCACAGCAATGTGCTGTAAAACAGCAAAGCCGTTCTTCCAAACATCTTCCAAGTGGCACAGTGAGCTGCTCCAAGATTTGTAAGCACATCCCTGGCATTTCACCACTGATGACCCACGGGTCATCACTACTCTCTCCTATCACATCTCACAAAGTCAGAGACAGAAGAATCCCAAGACAGCTTGTCTTGGCCTCTCTAAGCAGGAAAGGACCTTCCCAAAGCAAATCCCACACCTGTGAGGGCAGGAATCACAGAGAACACAATCATGTCTATTTCACAGAGAGGACCATGAATTACAAGGATGTTTGCCTCTCTTCCATTGCTCAAGCAGTCCAGAGATGGAACAAGATTGTCTCCTGACAGATTAAATTCCTTAATCCTTTGAATCATTCCTGTGAAGGCTAGAACAACTCATCAATTTTCAAGAAAGGTTCAGACATAGGGAAAGAAAGGAATCACACTGGTGTGTATCACCTCAAACATTTTAGAACCCCAAACATTTTAAAACCCCATTTTCCATCCATACGAGTAACAGAAGCTACACATAAGTGAGAATCCAGATCCCTTCCCTGAAACAACAAATCCTCAGACAGAGGGCATCCCAGGCCTGAGGTCCTGTGGTCTGAATGTTTGGGTCATTGTCATCTCCCTTCCACGGCTCCCCAACTTTCCATGAGTTTTACTCACTGCTCCCCTTTCATGTGTTCAGTGGGGCAGGTCCTGATGGTGAAGCCCTCAAGAAAGGGATTAGTGACCCTTATCAACGAGGACAAAGTGAGGAGAGGCCAATGCTGCTTACAGCTTGTTCATGGGCATCTTGAAGCCCTGGTGTCTATTATCCTGAATCAACCAGTATATACTAAAAGTATATAATACGGTACACTGGGATGCAATACTCCTATAAGGTAAGGAAATCTGTTGGTTTAATTTGCCACATTTACAAATTAAAAAAGAAAATCATATTTCAATAGATGTGGAAAAGTATTAAATCGAATTCAACAATCATTCACAACAAATACAGGTATCATGTTATCCTTCTAAAGCAAACAGATAAAACCTGTAAGAGCAAAATTTCAAACTTATTTCCTTTAAAATAAGACAAAAATGTCTATTATTGTCTATTGTTACAGGAGCTGGGTATAGTGGTATATGCCTGTAATCTCAGCTATTCAGAAGATAGAAGCAGGAAGATCAAAGTCTAAGGTCAGTTCAAACAGGGAGATTCAATCTCAACAAAGTACAAACCAAAAAGGGCTAGAGGATGTTTGGCTCAAATTGAAGAACAATTTTTGAGGCCCTGGGTTCAATCTCCAGTACTGCAAAAAAAAGTATAAATAAATAAATATTTACAGTTACCAGGTATAACTGGCTAAATTAAGTTCCAACCAAAATATGCTGAAGCCCCCAGAATCTGTGACTGTGACCTTGGGTGTAATCAGGATCTTGATAGAAGATCAAGTTCAGATGAGGTCAGGCTGGTGAGTGTCAGTACAACTGCTGTGCTCACAATAGGGGAAGTGAGATGCAGACATACACAAAGAAGAAACAGACAAAGATATGGGAGAAGACCAGGATTTACAAGCCATAATCTATGGATACTTCCAGAAGTTCTGTGAGAGAAAACAGACTCTCCCTCACAACCCTGCCTGCCATATCCAGATGTCTATACTCTGAAACTGTAAGAGGATGGTTCTGTTTAAGGCAGCCAGACTGTGGTATTTTGTTATGGTAGCTCTAGCAAAATATCTGTACTCAACACAGTGAAAGTCTGTCAACACATACACACGTGTGCACACACATGCATACTCACACACAAGCGCCCCCCGCCCCCAGAATAGTTTTTAAAAACTGAAAACAGGCAGTGGTGGCTTATGCTTGTAATCCCAGCTACTCAAAAGGCTAAGATCCGAGGATCACATTTTAGTTTTTTTGTTTTTGTTTTTTTGCAGTTGTAGGGCCTGAACTCTAGGCCTGGGTGCTGTCTCTCAGCTCTTCAGCTCAAGGCTAGTGCTCTACCACTTGAGCCATAGCGCCACTTCCAGTTTTCTGGTGGTTAATTGGAGATGAGTCTCATAGACTTTCCTGCCTCGGCTGGCTTTGAACCCTGGTCCTCAGATCTCAGTCTCCTGAGTAGCTAGGATTACAGGCATGAGCCACCAGCGCCTGGCTTGAGGATCACATTTTGAAGCAAGCCAGACCAGTTAAAACCATAAGATTCTTATTTATAATAACCAGCAAAAATCTGGAAGTGGAGGTTATGACTCAAGTGGTAGAGTGCCAGCCTTGAGACAAAATCCAAGTCAGAGTGTTGAAGTCCTGAATTCAAGCACAAGGAAAAAAAAACCCTGAAAACAGAGTCAAAATTATAACTACTCACAGATGATAGTTTATAAGAAGGACCATGAATCAGCTATTAGAATAAGAGCCTAAAAGTATTAAAAATACAAATATATCAAAGCAATCTGCACTTGTATATATAAAAATAATTAGAATTTTTAATCTTAAAAAGTACTAAAACCATAAGATAAACATAAGATATAAAAAGAAGCTGGGTGCTGGTAGCTCATGTTTACAAACCTAGCTATGAGGAGGCTGAAATGTGAAGATTACAGATCAAAGCCAGCCCAAGCAGGAAAGTCTATGAGACTCTTTTTTTTTTTTTTTTTTTTGTCGGTTGTGGGGTCTGAACTCTGGGTCTGGGCACTGTCCCTCAGTTCTTCAGCTCAAGGCTAGCACTCTACCACTTGAGCCACAGCACCACTTCCACCTTTTTCTGCTTATGTGATGCTGAGGAATCGAACCCATGGCCTCATACATGCAAGGCAAGCACTCTACCACTGAGCTACCTTCCCAGCCCTATGAGACTCTTAACAAACCAAAAAAAGCCAAAAGTGGAGCTGTGGCTCAATTGGTAGAGCACTAGCCTTGAGCAAAAAAGATCAGACAGCGCCCAGGCCTGGAGTTTCAAGCTCCAAGACCAGTACACACACAAAAATAGTTATCAATGATGTACAATATCCATATGGATAAAACAATATTTCATTGTTGGACATCAAGGAAGACCTAAAAACACTCTCCACAGGCTTTTCTGCAGAAATCAACAAACCGGTCTTAAATTGTCAAAGGACATCAAAGGAATTCCTAAAACAATCTTGAAAATGAAGAAAACTATAGATCTACACTCATAGATTTCAGGAATCACTATAAACTAGAGAGTAGATAATTACAATTTGGGTTTATACATCTGTAGTCTTAGCTACTTGTGAGTCTGAGACAAGAGGATTGCTTGATTTCAGGAGTTCAAGGCTATCTTGTCTCAAAAACAAACAATGGCAGGCATTAGTGGCTCACACCTGTAATCCTTATTACTCAAGAGACTGGAATCTGAGGATCACAGTTCAAAGCCAACCTGGGCAGGAAAGTCCACAGGACTCTTAATCTCCAATTAGCCAGCAAAAAGCTGGAAGTGAAGCTGTTCCTCAAGTGGTAGAGTGCCAGCCTTGAGCTAATTTTAGCTAAGGGACAGCACCCAGGCCCTGAGTTCAGGCCTCAGAATCAGCACAAAAACAAAGACATAGTAACAGTTAGGTCAAGCCCCAGATTGGGAGAAAAATTTGCAATGCATACATCTGACAATTGACTCATATGCAGAATATTTACAGACTATAAGCCAATAATAAGACAAATTTATGTTTTATAAGAGCAAAAGACTCCAAGAAGCACTTCACAGACAATGACAATGAATGACCAAAAAGAGTAACAAGATGTTCATTAGTCACCAGAAACATTTATTTTAAGGCATAATAAGATAAGACTTCACATTTACTAAGACCAAATGTCAAGGAAGCAATCTCTGATTTTGATGAATGGTACTGCTGCTTTGGAGATTTGTTTGGCAGGTTTTTACAAAGTTAAACATGCATCGATCTGTTAACTTCTTCCTCTGATACTACATCTCTTGGATGTGCTTCTATAGCCCAAAAAAGGTTCATACAACATATACTCAGCAAGCTTCTTCATAATTGCCTAAAAAACACAAAGCAGTCAAGTTGTATCTATTTTTATGCATTTAGTTGTGACATGCAAAGGAATAAACTAATGGATAAAGACAAAAAGATAGGACTACTGGGAGAATACTAGGGGTGCCTGGAAAAGCCCGTGGTTCTTGGAAGAAGGAAAACGAAAGAAAAAAAAAAAGGGATAACTCAAAAATCACTGAATGAAAGAAACCATATTTACACTGTGTGCTGCCAAGCACAAGGTTCAAAGATAGGCAACACTAAGCTATGTCGCTAGAAATCAGAAGCACTTACTTTGAAAAGAATGGGGTGACTAAGAATAGGGTGGAAAGGGACAAAGGAAACTTCCACTTTCTGAATGACAGAAATAGTCTATAGCTTGTTTGAGTTACTGGTTAGACAAGTGTATAATCTGTCAAAATTCATTCACTTATAGACTTAAGTTGTATGCATTTCATTGTAGGCAAACTTGCTTTACAATGAAAAATTTGTCTTGAGAGACCCAGAGAAAAATGCCATTCCAGTACAA